ATGCAAAGCGTGATATAATATTTTGCAGCCAAGATTTTTTATTAGAAGTCCATTTTAGCTGTATAATGTTTTATGCAAAACTAGCAGTTAAAAATTTATTATCAGTTGGAAATTTATATGACAAATACATTATATCCATGATTGCCTTGTATTATACTATGAATTAATTTTCTGTCTCACTCTTTTACAGAGTCGATTATATTTCTCATACAAGCTCCTTTTTTTTTTTGTGGCTCATTATTTGTTTTGTTAGACCCACCTGCTATATGCATGTATTTTGGTTGTAATATTTTATTCTTACAACAGTTCACGCGCAACGCGTGTGCACCTACGAGTTTTATTTAAATGGATAAACAGATAATAAATGTTGACAAGTCTCACCCAAATACAACTCATTTATTAAATAAATCTGATGAATTAATTTGTTTATCACTTGAACTCGATAAAATTTCATCTAAATTCAATGAACTCTGTATTATTTTGTGTTGTGTCGAACTGTGACCGAGTTACTAATGGTGAGATCAATGAGCAAGTACACGTGAAATGCCAAAAGGTTGAAGATACCCTTTGCTTAGCCGTGTTCACACTTACTTTGTTTGCCAACATTCCAAACACCACCCTTTTCACACCTAGATGAATGTAATTAGATGGCTCTCCTACAATCTGGCTTCGGTGGCTTTTCGGCTGGCTTCGACTATTCGCATAGTTATCAAATTACCAGTGTAATATCAAATTGTATCCAAATTGCGTAGAGATTTATACCCCTATGAACAGGGGTGGAGTCAGAAAATTATGTCAGGTGAATACGAATATTTCAACAAATTATTATTTTTTTCTTACAATTGATAGAAATAAGACAATAATTTATTTAATTACATCCTATTTAATATTTAAAAGTTCATTAAATCTACCAAATCGAATTTTGGTAACCCTAGTATATACAAACGATAATTTTTTTTTTTACAAAATATTAACTGATTAAAATCATTTAGAATTGACTTCGGCAATTTTTTGTACTTTTAAAACGTTGCATAACAACTTTATTGTTCTTTAGATACATAATCATATTATCACTTTGGTATTTATAAATCATTTGATCATTATGCAGTTTAATATGCACTCTATAATTTTTTACCATAATTAGTAAAAATAAATGTCAAAATCACAAGTAAACTAGAGAATATGTATATTATTTTTTTTTAGTTTTAAAAAATATAAAATAATTCTAGTATATTCAAAAATTTATCTAGATGTGTACATAATCAGCCCAAAATGTGTCAAAAAATTCATATTCATTTAATATAAATACACACTAATTGATGTGCCAAAAAAAAAAATAGGGAGAGCATAATTAAAATTATTTATTTGATATAAGTGTACATTAATATTTGTGTCATTGATTTTGGGTGGAGACAAATAATATATTATACAAATATACAATATACATATCGAAGTAATAAACAAATAAATAAATATTGAAAGGGGGGGGGGGGCACTTGCCCACCCTGGAATAGGGATGCCTCCACCCTTGCCTATGAAACTTTAGTTTTTATATGGATGGTCTATTTTTGACTGGATTAAAAAGAGGATAAGTGAGGTACGCGTATATTGGTTCAGACATCTTTATATTTGTAGATTACATATAAAATCATCTTCAACCCTAACTTTTGACCCAAAAAAAAATCCTAACTTTAATTTAGACTTAAATTTAAGTTTGATTTTAAATAGTCTAAAAATCTTCTCCAACTTTAGACCCAAATTTGTACAAAATCAAGAAAAAACTTATTTGCAACTTAAATTGATAGAGACTCAAATTTTATATCAAATTTGTAACAGTAACTTTTTACCCTGTCCAAAGTATAAAAGACTTTTTTGACGACTTACTCTCTACCTCTCTCTTCTACATTACTTCTATCATCAACCACTATTGAAACATTCAGATCCTTTGAAGACTTGTAGGTAAGTTTATTCCTTTGGGGTGAGGTTATTCTCATCCCACAAATTATCACACTACCAAGTTTACTCTTTCTATCTCACTCCATTAATAACTAAGTTCACCTCGTAGGTCCACTTCGTAGCCCACACCAACTATACAGAAGTGGGAGTCAGTGGAGGCGTGTAAGGTTGATGATGATATCAAATAGTACCCCTCTCAGGAGGATCATCATAGAGGTGTGTTGGAATTAGATTCAAATATTATTAGAAATAAACATCAACCTAACAAATTATGTAAACATGTAATTAAGAGGATTGCCGCAGTTATCTCAATTAGTATTACACTTGAGTTAAGGCACGGACTAAGTCATTCTTTTTAAGACAGTTCGCGCTCTTACAAATAAATTATTCGATATAGTAGATCATAGCACGCCGTCTCTAGAATACAACAATCCAACTACTCACTGTAACTTCTCTCAGTTTACACAACTTTGAGAAGTAAAATCTTTACCCACACGCACCTTTCTTTATCAAATAAAATATAATATAAAAATAGAGGAAGTCACACTTATTTTTTGTCTTAACAACATTATATAATGCCCACTTATATCAACCCAATAACTACACAATAAGGACATAATATGTAACTCATGAGCCACTAAATTGCACCATTATAATTCTCATTATATACATACTAATTGTTAGACTTGAAACTTATGTGGCTTGTAAAGATAAAAATAAATATGTATAATTATGCTAAAATGAAGATGCAAATAAAGGTGAAATTATTGCTTTATTAATTAGATAATGATAAACCCTATATTTTTATTTTTATTAAAATAGTACAACAAGGTAAAATTGAGAGTTGTATAGTGTTTGGTATGTTTTTTTGTTATGCTTTAACCCTATTTATGCTCTAATAGTTTGATTGATTATTGAGAAATTTTGGGAAAAGAATGAAGCATACAAATTTGAAACTATGTGTATACTGAACAGTGTTTGTTACCTTAGAAAGCTAGAAGCTTGGATCGAATTGGAGATGTGTTTTCCCTTAATTTTTGGAAAAATGTAGGAGACTCTAATGGTCTGTTTGATAAGGTGGATAGAAAAATGAAAAGATGAAAAGTGAAAGTGATATAATTTCTATCTTTCAAGGGAGAAATCTTTTTTTTCCTTATTTCTGTTTGGTACGAGTGATGGAAAGAAGGAAAAATTGGTTTTGTTGCGTTTGATAAAATCGAAAAAGTATTTTTCTAAGTTTTAATTTTTTTACAAAAAAAATATAAATATATATTTTATAATTATATTTATATATAAAATTAATGTATACATAATATGTAATTGATAAATATGATGATATAAATATATATATATATATATATTACTAATAAAAGTACCTTAGATGAAAAAATTTTGAATCTCTATTTTACCTTTATAAAAAATTGTAAAGACCACTTTATCATTTCACAATTAAATATCTAAATTACTATCATATCCTTATATATTTAAATCTCCAAAATAACTATAACATCTCTTTTAATTATTTATTCCCTATGTATAAATTTTTATTTTTTGATTAACTATATTACTTTTAAAAAATATGAATCATTATATTTTCAATAAATTGTTTGAAAAAACTTCAAACACTCCATCTTTCTAATATTACTCATCATCTTATATCACACACACACACACACAAATATATATATATATATTATTTTTCACGAAAAGTTGAACCCTTTCATTTTTAAGATAAAAGATAAAAAATAATCATATATATAATTTTTTAAAATCAATTTATATTATATCAATATAATTCTTCGGTCACACTAAATTTAAGGATAAATTACACGGACACTCATGTAGATTTGTCTAATTACAGGGACACCCCCTCAATTTTTTGAAATTACACTGATACCCCATGCTAGGTCTTGTCACTTAATAAATATAACAAAAAATGCGATTTTTCATAATTACCCTTGTCATACATCATTTTTTACTTATCATTCTCTCATATATTTAAATACTAATAAATTGGTCATTTTCCGATTCAACCCATCAAACCTAAAATTGACATGATTAGGGGTGTTCACCCTACCCTACAGGCTCGTTTGGTTGTCGTATTAGAAATGGATGGATTACATAAATTAATACAGGCTAATACAATACAGATGAATAAAATAGAAGATTAAATGGGGTATTAGAATAATACGTAATTTTATCTAGTGTTTGACATACACAATATAAGCGTTGGATAGTAATTATTTAGTCCAATCTATTGTTTGGTTAGAGAATTATTACATCGTATTAATATTAAATTAACAAAAATACCGTTAATCAATTATAGTATTTGACACTGCGAACAACATGGAAGATATCATGATCCCCTCTAAATGTCATCATCGTTAATCGGGAATATGATCGAGTTTTTCCTCCCATTACCAAAAAGATCAAGTTTATTCATTTTATACTTAAAAAAAAATTTCATTAAGTTAAACAAAATTCCATTGAATTAATAACAGTACCAATTAATTGACAATAATATCAATCAAAATACCATCAATCCAAAAAATAAAACTTTATTCAAATCAATTCATTTATGTGAACCATTGTCAAAACCATGACAAATCCACATAACAACTAAAAACTACAAATAAAAACTAAAAAAAAAATTAAAAGTCACATTAAAGTCTATGTTAAGTAAACTTATTTATGACTATAACTAGAAAATGACATAAATTCGCCACCAAAGTGAAAATCATCTCACTTTAAAGTTTACCATCAAGAAGCATTTGCAACCATTATGACTTCGCAATATCAGGCAAGCTGAAGAAGTAGTCGACTCTTTTTTTATCATTGACAATCATCTGTCCAGCTCTTATTCTGTCAAAGAAATTTAGCCCTTCAATTTGCTCAAGGACCCCATAGACCCTAGCTCTTTTGTCAGCAACGTCATGTGCATATCCCATGTGTTTAGCCATGTCCACTAGTACTTGAGTACTCTCAGAAAGAAAAGAAGTAAGTGTTTTTTTAATATCTTCTACTCTAGAATTAACTCTTTTCCTCTAATTTTTTTTCTCAGGCTGGGTTTTGACATTTTCATTCGAGTTTTGAGTTACTCCATTGGACACCCCAATGTCATCAGAACCCACTATTTCAACTTCATTTGCGGATCCATCATTTACTCCTTCCCTAGCCAACTCCTCAAGAAAGTCACCTGGAGCCTCCGCATGTTCACCTGTGGCCCTGTCTGTCCCAAATATGACACACTATTGATTATAAAATGGAAATGATTTGTTCCTTATCCCATCCGCATTTGGCTCTTTCTACATTAAAAAAGAGATTATATTATTTGGAAAACATGTTAAAATTCATAAAGCAAAAAAAAAAAAAATTACTCAAATTAATTATTACCTTAACAAACTCTTCCCTAATACATTGGTTGAGATAGCTCCTTTTCTTGATCTATATCTCAATTTGTCAGTCTCGGGTACTTTAAGTTCTTATAGGTATCATCTAACGCCCCGACACAATTCTAAAGTTGAATAAAAATAAAATCAAATTGTCGGAGTGATAAGTCAATTTAATAAAGTAAAAAATAAATTAGTTCAAATAATAAAGTACCTTAAACCATTTCCACCTAGGGTCTGTGGAATTTTCCGGAACAGGTTCTGGTTTCTTAAGTAGTAAGCCTTGAACTTTCAGTACTGCATTGAAGTGTCTACTGATAGTCTCTCCCGATCTACGAAAATTACACTTAATGATCATGTTTGTTGTATGATGAGCTAATATACTAAGGAGCATGACATCCATTTCCTCCACACTCACAAATTTAGAGTCATTAAGTCCTCGTCTGTTACGAAGAAGATCACAAAGAATCTTGAATGTACATCTATCCATTCTAAGTTGTTGAAAACATGGTAAATCACCATCTCCTATTAATTTAGTAAGGTTTTCCATCTGTACTGCAACCCTACGTCCTAAACGAGGGTATTCTAACCAATTTATAGAAGATCTAGCACGTTCTAATTTATAAATGAACCAAGAGACATATTGCTATCAAATGCATGAATATCGCATGAATCACAACAAAGAACTCAATATGTCTAGCATCATCCAAATCAGAATCCACCATAGCAGCAGCCATCATATCAATATCCAGTGCTACTGAAACATAAAGTAAGAAAGTGAGAGCATAAAAAGGAAAATCATCCAACATCATTAGGTTGACATGCAAGTTGGAGAGGAATGAACAATGAACATGCATCACACAAAAAAACAAAAGATAATGAGGGTTCAACTAATGATCCAATTGGGAAAGAACTTGGTTTCCACCAGCCACCATAAAGACTACTATACCCCCTAGCCACCATAAAGAATACTATACTACACAGCCACCATAAAGACATAGCAGCCAATGCAACACCGAACATAAGCAGCAGGAGCCATCCATGAAAGCATCCAGAACAACCAACAGCAGCAAAACATCACCCACCCAACACCGAACAGATAGGCAGGCCTGGATAGCCCGCAGCAAAACACCGTAAAACTGAGCAAAAAAACCACAGCAAAACACCGCAAAACAGAGCAAAAAAACTATCCATCCTTCACTCCATAAAAAAATTCAAGCATCAAAAACCAAAGAGTGATTTATGACAACAACAACAACAATGTTAATTTTAACAGCTAATTGGTCAATTAAATTGCAACATGAGCATCAAATAACCACAAAAGTTGGAAAAAGAAAACTAAAACAGAAAGTCTGAACAAAGGGGAAAAAAAAAAGAAGTTGGTTCCAAGCTTTCTCAAGAGTTTTTTCACCGTATTCCACAATTCACACCAACGCCACACCACTAATAATTGCCCAGCAAAAAAAATTGGTGAACCATCCCTCCTTCAACCATAACGATGAGAACACCCAACCTCACTGCCTCTAAACCAAACCATAACTGCTACAAGCCACCCCAACAAAACCAATAAAATTTAGAAATCAATACATCACTGAACCACCAGCCCCACCTCACCACCACCACTGCGTAGCCGCCTCCAACAAGAAATCAAAAAACGAAAAGGAAACATGCATACATAAATCGAAAGACTGAAGAAGAAGACACCTTACCTCGCCAAGACCTCCTGTTGATAGCAGCCGGTGAAGAACAATGGGAGAGAGAAACGTGCGTCTGACAAAGTATAATTTATGTTGAAGATAAGTTGATTTTATTAAATATGGTGGTTATAATAGTAATCTTGTAAAATAATACATTGTGGTGGATTATAATACCACATTTTTTAGTGGTATTAAAATACCTCCATAATATAGGTGTGGTGTATAAAAAATATACGATTAGTATACATTTTTGAAATTAATATAAACTCAAAACTATTTATCAAACAAAGTATTAGGTTTGATTAAATAAAAAATAGTGCAATCCAATATTTAATCCCCTCATAATATGTCTATCAAACGAGCCCTACGGGTAGAAAATATGTTCTTCCGTCTTCCTACCCGATACTTTCCGGAAGAGTTTTTTCTTGACCTACCCTACCCGACAGGTGTGGTATTCCTACCCGATTAATCGGGTAGAAAAATCGAGTAAACATTTTTGTAACAATTAATTTTTGGATCATTTTAATAATTTAATTGAATAACATGCACCAATTTAACAACACAATAAATCAATTAACACTAAAATCTAAAACAACTACATCAAGAATTATAATAAAACACAAGAAAGTATGAACATCAATCCACCATAATTGTTACACAAATACAATAATAATTAATTTAAGTTTAAACTTTAAATCATATGAAATACATTAAAATCATAATTGTTCCACCTGTGGTTAGGGTTTAGGGTTTTTTTAGTTCATATATATATTAAAAAATTATTGCAAGTAGGGTAAGGTAGGAATGCGAAAATGGATGGTTATTTGCATTCCTACTCGAAAATTGTCAAAAGACTAAAAACTCTTCCGCATTCCTACCCGATTTTTGTGACTAGTAGTTCAGTAGGGTAGGGTAGGATCGTGTCACGCCCCATCCCAGTCTCCCAAGGATGAGATACGACTAGGTTTTTCATACACCTGTGAACAATTATTATAAGCTGAACTAATTAAACATGATATAATCACAGGTGCAACAACAATACTTATCACCTTAGTTATTAAGCATGATGGCAAAACCTATCTGATAACCTGTACTATATATAAACACCTGTACCAATAATTTATTTTCCAGGTTATAGACATATACAAAATCTCACACCCACATAGCATACATCACAAAGTATGTTTGCTGAGTCTATTTACAAATATATACTATTAACCTGTCATAAATATCTCTCATAAATATAATATATAGCCTAACGGTTAGTCATACCGACACTCAACCTGAGTGATATCACACTAACGTTACGCAAGACTCAATCAACTGGACAATGGACTGGTCTGCATCCTCTTTTATAGTACCTGAAAGAAGAAATTGTAGGGGTGTGAGCTAAACCACGCGTTCAGTGAGTATACATGTAGTATATGGAATGAAAAATGATAGTAATACATTGCAGTAGATAGCTACTACGTAGATACACATATCAAACAACAACATCAATTCAATTCTAAAGAATTCACAAGTCACATCATATCCACACTATCCCTCATTGGGTAATTGATCCCACATGGATCTGTGTCTCCCGAACCTCCTGGGAACACCACAGTGCTAGCACATCACTGCACGCCTAGTGACAGGCATCGACACCCCTGTCTGAAACAATGCGCCACATTCCACAATGCACAATACACAATACAAATCGTCATCCAATCACATAAACACATAGCATATAATCCTTGAAAAATGCTATTAAATTCTATCATTTATTATCATATTATAATAGCATTTTTAAAATATATATAGATATACACCCACCTCAGATATATAAATCTATGACCCTTCGACCCTATAGTGGATCCTTTCGGTGTCACCGTACCTGTTTCAATACCGAATGTCTCACTCGTTCCACCTAACACATTTGTAATTACAATATTAATATAGTTATCAAATTTAATAATTAATCATGCACTAATGCATGCAAATGAGACACTCCAAAGTGCTCTGATAACTCCGGTTACCGTCCTATCCACTCACACACTAGCACTTTTGTTCTAGAGATCACATTTCCTCCCTAAATTTTCAAATTCAATCACATTAATCATAATTAGGATTAAGTAGGTCAAACACATTGACTGGGAGTCCATTTCCACACATTTTGACCCAGAATTCCAAAAATTGCACCTCCGGCATTTTATACGTTTCGCACTGGATATTATACTTATTTGCATTCAAAAGTCATATTATCACAACAAGCATTATTTAAAAATGCTACATGCAAAATTTCAGGTCATTTGGATTAAAGTTCACACATGTGATAATAATATTTAGAAATCAAGGTTTCAGCGCTACCGACACCCCTTTTCAATTTTTATCGTACTTTTTATTTAAAATCGTCATACTTAATCTTACACACACATTTAATCATGCAAATTTCAGCCCCTAATTGAATCTTTAAATTACTCATTTCACTCTCATAATTTCGGTTCCAATCTAACCCTCAAAAACATACCGAACATTTTAAATAGTCATTTTTTTTTACATTTTTTCCATCTTTATTTTAATACCCATTTTAACAGCCCCTTAAGTGGACTCAATTCACTTAATTAAACTCAAAAAAATCTATTTTGATCATAAAGTAAAACAACCCATCATTTGTACACAAGATAGCCCACTAATTAACGAATTATGTGTAATACATTTAATTAAACTCAAATTTAAATTAAAATAGTCTAGTCATTAAAACATGCTAAAATAGCACATACATGTATAACAACATAGATATTCAAATTAATCACAACGTATGATTAAATTGAATCACACATATCTTCCGTACTCACGGTTCAAATAGACCCACGCACGTATATTTTTTTTTCTTTCTTTCTCTCTTTTGTTTTTTCCTCCTCTATTGCTCTCATCACTCTCGGCCTCAGAACTCTATCAGACACGCGCACACACTTTTTACTATGATAAACACACACACACACACACACACACACGACACACTTTTATTTTTATTTTAAAAACATGTGTAAAGTTAGGTGAATAATTACACTTGCTCCCCCCAAATTTTTAAATACTTTCAAAATTGACCCACTAATATTTTTACACATGAAATGGGTCTCACTAACACATCACTAATCGGGTCCACATCCCTTATGCATGCACACATACATCAAAGTTATGAAAGATTAATTTAATTAACCCTTTAATAATTTTATACAATTATAATTTAGCCTACAAAATTATATTAATATGCATCCAATGCGTGATTGGGTCTCACAGGTCGGGTATGGTAGGAATTTGCAGCTGGTCGAAAATTTGAACACCCCTAGACATGATCAATCTGTTTTATTTAATCGTGTTGAATTTCTTCTATTTTCTCGTTTGTATGTTAACAAGAACAACACAAAATTGCAATGATCCATATGTTTAACTGATATTATAAAATTAAAATATTAATTATTTGTTGTTGTTTATTAAGCACAAACATAATTATTGTATAAAAAAAAAATTTTTACTCATTATTATTGCTATGTTTATTAAGTTAATTTTTAGTTTATAGAAAAAGTATAAGAATTGATTCAATTAAGTAATAATAGAACCTTATAATTAAATTTTAACGTTAAATTTTTTTATTAAAAGTTTATATGAGTCAACACAAATATGAACACACCTACACGGGTAGCCCAACGGTGTGGAGTTGAACCTAGACAAACCGTAGACCCGGACGTCAAGGGTTTGACTTTCACTGGTATCTCTTGGACTTAGTTGATACCTGTGGTTTGCAGGTAATTGCAGGTATCTGGGGTTTACTCTCACAAGAATGGGTCCAAAGTGACCTTACTTTGAAGAGGTTCCACGATATAAAAAAGAAACATGAATGCGAACACGAACATGATATGAAAATAAATAGTTTAATCTAATTTTATCCATGGCTGATATGAGTATTGAAGCATAAAAAGTTGATGATGTAATCACTTTTTTGACATTACGATGCTAACCATAGGGATAATTTGTGAAATAGGTAGGTAAACAATAAAAAGTGTTAGTGTAACTTCAAAAAATTGAGCCGTGTCTCTGTAATTAGACCAATCTACAGGAATGTCAGTGTAATTTACCCTAAACTTTATAAGTTGTAGTAAGATTTTTTTTATAAAAATAAATATCGTAGTTTATTTTTAAGTAAAACTTGAATTCTTTAGAATTTTAAGATATTTGATATATAAATTATAGAATAGTATATTAAATTTTATTCCAGTTGATCTAACTTATTTTTAATTGCACTAAGGTTGTAATGTGATTAGTATATTAACAATTACTTTTATTTTATTCAACGAATTATAATTGAAATCCTAATCAAATGAATTTCAAGAAATTTAATTTCTCAAACATCACTAAAAAAATCAATCTTAATCACAAAATTCTAAAATTATAGGATTTTAACTATTTTTTTTATTTTTTTATAGTTAGAACAAAGAATTTTGGAAATATATAAAATTTTCATAATTTTATAATAGAATATGAGCAATAAAAAAATTAAAATTTATAAATTCGAGATGATATTTAATTCAAATATATATATATATATATATATACATAATATATTTAATAAATTTTTGTGTGCAAAAATTATTCACGTGCAACGCATGTAGTGCATTCTTAGTATATATTAAATGATATTATAAAAATATTATTTTAATCTAATTTAGTATACCGAAAAACTTATAATTTACAACCCTATACACGTGACACCAAAAAAAAAACCCTTGTCCCTCCCATTACATATGAAATTCAAAAACTCTCTATTTTCTATCTTGAAACTCGCAATCTTGAATCTCACAGCCT